CAGGGAATGCATCCTTTCCTTCTACTTGTTTCCACTCTTGTCAATATTTTTATATCATTTTCAATAACATTTCCGTGCTGCCCTTATTTCAAAAAGACCTCTGGCATCTACCACCAGCATGAGAGTCACCAGTTTCCCTTCCCTTGTATGACTCTTCTTTCGTGGAGAGAATGCCTTTGATTGTCCACTTTCTTCTCACTTTCCTATCCAGTGGAATTTGGAACTCTCTGGCTTTACTGGAAGGGAATATAAAGGAGAAATTATCAGAAGTATTTGTGTTACACAGTCACTCTGATGAATGTGCTTCAGGCACACTCATGGTTTCATTACTTGGAGGAAAATGTTTAACCTCTCACGTATCCCGAGATGCCAGCAGAGTAACAGGGCAACCTTTAGTAAAGCATGTTCTTCAAAACATCCCACACTGTGAATGATTAAATCTTAATTTTATTTTTATTTAATTATTGGTTTTTCCAGCCAGGATTTCACTGTGTAGCCCTGGCTGTCCTGGAACTCATTCTATAGACCAGGCGGGCCTGAACCTCATGGAGATCTGCCTGCCTCTGCCTCCTGATTGCTGGGATTAAAAGTGTGTACCAACATGGCCCAGCTTACTAAACTTAATTTTATAATGAGCTTCCAACTGTCTAAATGCCCTCAAAAGTGTGCGAAGTCAGAAACAATTACTCTATATATAGAGAAAAAGAAAATGCTTTATGAATGCATAAGACCTCTATAGACACTAGAGGAGAGTCTGCTACTACCGTTTTTCCTATATTCTGAAGACTTAGCTTTATACCTGCAGATAAGAGTAGTGTTCACAATTCATTAAAGAAGTTTCCACTCACCGTAGATGGAGGTTATTCCGTGACGTATATAAGAGACAAATGTTTGGTTACTATGCAGAGAACAAACAATCGTGGAGTGCCAAGCTCAGACAGGTGCATCTTCAATGCAGCGCCAATGCCTCAAGCTCAGGGGACACCCCGGGGGAAGGGTGCAGAAAGGATGTGAGAGCCTGGGGACCAGGATGCCGGCTGTGAGACGGTATCTTCTAGACATGGTAGGAATGCTGCATCCATGAAATCTAAGACCGAAAAACCATTACATAAATAAGACCTTGCAGAATGACAACACCAGTCAATGTGCCAGACTGGATGGGGAAATTTCCTATGGCCCTATACTAAGGAAGAGCAATAATTAATAAATGACTGAGATAGGGACGTTCAGATTTTTGAAGGGTCTGGTCTCCTGATGGGCTGTCCAATCCCAAGCAGTCAGTCCTAAGCACATGCACAAATGGGCAACACTAAATAAATTCAGCATGTGTATGTGACAATAATGTTTTTTTTTAAAAAGAGGCATAAACTTGATAGTGAGTGAAGGGCAGGCAAAGAAGTTGTGTGATTAAGGGTACAGAAAATAACATAAATAGTTCATTTGTGTGAGTAATTATCAAAAATTTAAAATAAAAATTTAAAAAATAACCTTTAAAGCATTTCTTTTGGGATGGAGTTATAGTTGAGAAGTAGAGTAGTTGCCTAGTGTACACATTGTATTGAAAAGAAAAGTAAAGTAAGAACAGGATATATAATCTGCCACTAATAACACTTAGGCTACAGAAAGAGAGTGTGTATTGACAGGAATATGTAAATCCTTTTTCTACTTTAGTTTTATTAATTTACTCTGTAGTGTGGGTGTTTTATCTGCATGTGTGCACTATGTACATGCCCAGTGCCTACAGAGATCAGAAGACATGGAAATGCCTGGAACTGGAGTTACTGTTGCTTGTGAGGCGCCATGTAGATGTTGGGAATCAAACCTGGTCCTCTGCAAGAGCAAAAGTGTTCTAAGACATTGCATCATCATCTCTCCAACCCCCTTTAAATTCTTGATTAATTCATGATAAAGTAATATCCAGAAGGGCACACAAGAAAACATAGGCATATACTTAGCAGGGGAGTTGGAAGACTACTGAGCAGTTACGGGATGTGTATAGGCATTGAATCCTCATGCATGCCATTGTAAAATAGATAGTGTTATATACTCAAATGGTAATTGAGATTGTAACAATTGTCTAGGATCTGCAATAGTTGCTTTCTAATCTAATGTCTGGTAAATTTTAATCTACCATCATATCGGTCACAAAAAAGTATCTCAACTTTAGGAAAAATTATGCTGTTACTTTTGTCTGATACCATCTCTAACAGTTGATGGAAAAAACAATCTGGTCTTCTCAAAAGCACTGCTCTTGAACTTGATCCATTTTCTGACCGATCTTGAGTGACACTGGTCATAGAGAAAGGCTACAATGAGAAGCTTCCTTAACATCCCAATAAATTATGTCTATATTTGAGCATTGAAACTCAACATTAAATTTCAACCTTTTTGCATGACGTTTTTTGTTTTGGAATATTTGTACACTGTGTGAAGATGTATTGCTGTGATTGGTGTAATAAAGAACTGAACAGCCAATAGCTAGGCAGGAAGTATAGGTGGGACTTCCCAGCAGAGATAGAGGAATGTATATGCTGGTTTATCTACTATGGAAACATGGTAGACTATGAGACTGGAGGAGACGTGATAAATCTTGGTGGCTACAGAGTCCTCATGACTTATTACATGCCATCCTTTCATGTGGATGCATAGAGACTTATATTACAGTTTGGATTTGCAGTCCTAACAGACTTATAAATTTGACAGATGCCTTTTACCTGTTCAAACATAGAATAAGAAAATCATCTTTAACTGACTTGGGCACACTGCATATTCCATGTTTGTGTTAATGCAGATAGATAGATAGATAGATAGATAGATAGATAGATAGATAGATAGA